TGCAACTTCTCAACAACATGAAATTGCATTACCACAATTTCTAAACAACATGAAATTGAATTAACACAATTTCCAAACGACATGAAATTGATGAGATTGGATAAACCAATATGTCACAATACAACATGAGATCTCAAAATTTGTGACATCCAATCACCTTTAAGCTCACAACATGCTTAAAGATATTATTCCATACATATATTTCTCAGTGGACCGGAGAAATAATAATAATGATGATCATCAATTATGAAAATTCAAACAAATATCACAAAATAATTATCAGTTTGCATAGAAAAGTGACCAGAAAAACAAACTGAAAATGACTCCCACTAATCAAAGGAATCAAAAGAATATAAAATATTCAAAAGCAAGCCTTGAGTATTACTCCCACTAATTAATAAAATCAAAAGAATTTAAACTCATATTCTACACACGAAGGAAGCTACTCTAAGGTCTTTCTTATCAAAACTTTTAGATAAAAGGCTCTTGTTTTATTCAATAAATCAACATCTTCCTAGCAAATAAAATGTCATCTACATAAAGTACTAAGAAAATATATTTACTCCCACTTACTTTCATGTAGATGAATCAATTAATGAGCATACACTGGCTTCAGAGATCTGTCCCCTTTGGGCAGATAGATCACCTAGACCAATGCACCTCCAATAATTTTATTACAGTTAAGCTTCCAATTAAAACACACAATAATCCCCTTTGGGTAGGAAATTGCATGAAATAACTAGAAGCACTCCTCAATAATTTTTTTTGTATGTAAACAGTTCAAGCGGAAGCATACAATTCAATAAAAAAAATATTACAGCATGCAACACAGGTTGAGAGTACAAAATTATACAACAATATCAAATGAGAGCTAATTTTTCAATACATTTTGCACCAAAATATACCCAAAAAAATATAATTCATAATTGATAGAATTTAACACAAGTTAATCTTTATCACCAAAAGTTATACACATAATGTAATAAATTAATCATGAGCAATAACAAAAATAATTAAATATCATAGACTCCCCTTTGAGCAGAGTATATAATATATAATTATTTTTCATCACATGAAGATTTAACAACGGAGAAAATTATATATAATTGTCTAAAATTTATCCCCTTTGGGCAGATAAATTTTATAAATTATATATCTCCTTAATTCCAACATAAATGCATCATATGTAATTTTCAAAAAATTTATCCCCTTTGAGCAGATAAATAATTTTCAATTAGATATTCCCATCAATAATATTTATCTTCATGTAATTTATTATTATATATTAAAAATCTCCTTTGGGCAGATAATTAACATATAATAATTATTAAACAACAATAATATCTCATGAATCAAACATGTTCAAACAACACGAAACACTTTTCCAACATGTGTTTCTTGAAAAAAAAATTATTGCATTTGTCAATCAAAAGAATTCACTCATTGTCAATCACAATTATTAGAATTGTGTATCAAAATAATATTTAAGTTATATCATTACGGGATGTATTAAGCTATTCTGAAATATATATAAAATTCGAATAACGGCAGCATGTACAGCGAAATAATAAAAAGCACAAACTGATAATGCATCCACAAGTATAAGACTTCAGATTTAATGGAAACAAGGATAAGATTTTATTTTGAATAAATATTCAAAATTCAATGAGTTATTATACATGCTGTGCAACCAGGATAATTATCTAATATCTTATAAAACTCGATGAGTCATAAAACTGACAATGATTTTGAATAAATACTGGAGAATATTTACGTGTTGTTTCACAAATATAGATTATCGCAAACGATATATATATATATATATATATATATATATATATATATATATATATATATATATATAGTTACGTGTTGTTTCAAATCTCCAAACTGATAATTCAAATCTTGTAAATATATATATGTGTTGAGTTATCATACGTGCTGTAAATATATATAATCCAAACTGATAATTCCAATCTCCAAACGATATATATATTATCGCAAATGAGTTATTATACGTGTAGTAAATATAGTTACGTGTTGGTTTGGATATATATATATATATATATATATATATATATATATATATATATATATATATATATATATATATATATATAAACGATATATCCAGTCAGTAAGGTAAAAAGAATAACAATATATATGTATCCAACTTTATCCTAGAATATAATAACAATATATATCGAGTTGTTACTGGTTTATTGCAAACGGTAAAAAAAATTTCTTTTGTTTATAATTGATAACAAGTAAAATATTTGAAGCTCCCTTTAAAATCGGAACCGAAAAACAAGTACACAGAAAATCATGCCCACGATATATCTCACTTGAATAGTTGTTATATGTTACTTGAATAATAAATCTTACGTGGGATATATCTTGATAAAACGGTAAAAAAAAATTACGTGGGACCTAATAAAGTTGTCAAGGTCGTTGTGGGGTGGGGTTCTAGAAATGCAGAAACCCATTCAACGAATCAGTCTTCTCTGCTAACAATGGCGAATTGTTGAACAAAAGTAAAAAAAATTCTAATGATCTTCCTGTTCACGATTCACCTTACAATTATTGAAAAAAAAATAATACAGACTAGTATTGTCCTCAACACGTGAAACATTCAAAACATATAATAGTGTACATTCAAAACATCTATGTACGCTAGCTAGAAATCATAAAAAAAATGCAAGATAGAATTGCACAAAAAACAATGATAAAGAAAGATAACACTACAGGTGAATTCTCAACCGAACAAATAAAGTTATATTGGATTCTATAATCATATACATGTGGCTCTGATACCAAATGATAGAAATATTTTAACCCTGAATCATGTATATGATTATAAAATACTTAAATGTTAATAAATTAGAGTTGTAATTATGTGTACCTTGTTGGGCCATCACAAAGTCGGAGAAGAACGGTTGGAAATATGGGAACAAGATGCTAGAGTCTTTCTCTCTATTGCCTATTCAGAAATTGGCAGCCTTCAGCAGATGGGAGCATGATGGCTAATGGAGCTTAGCTCCAATATAAATAGGCTAGAGAGGGGACCTAGCCAATAACCCAGAAAAGAGTCTGTGTCCACTGGGTCCACCCATCATGAAAAATCAGGGTCACACTAAAGCCTACACTGCTGCCCAACTAGGCCCAATAACAACAGATTCCAGAAGCCCAATTCAATGTGATCACAATGAGCTAGTTACAATAACAATATTGGAATATCCATTAACCCGATTAATTTTAAATACAAAATTAATTAATTAATATTGCCCATAAAATAAATTTCTAACAAAAAATTGTAAGAATAAATAATATGAGATGTTTGTGAATTCTGAGAAGTTAATGAAATTCTCCGTTAATAAGACATTCTCATGCATCCTAAGGACAAATGGGCATATTTCTTTTACGCTGCCATTTGTTGGAACTTGGCGAATGGCATGGAAGCTATCTGCTATGCTATTAGAGGATTTATACTATAAACACACAACGTCCACCCTGTTGGCTGTAGTTTTAGCTTGTATATGTGAGAAATGAATAAGAAAAAAAGGATATTTCAAAAAGAATTCAAATCAGAAATTTTTCTCCACAAAACAGGATCATTTTACTTGGGAATCAAAGATAATAAAAAAAAAAAAAAATGAATGGCCTGATCATGTCTCAACGGCCAATCTTCGGCAGAAGAAAAGGTTCCATTGGAACAATTCTTTATTTCTATTTCGGGATACCCGGTCTCTTTTTTTTTTTTTTTTTTTTTTTCAAAAAAATGTGGGGATAAATGACAAAAAGATATTGGAACATACACCCCACATGTTAACATTAGACGTTTCAATGTGTTCTCCACATATTAACACTAGACGTGTCTTTTTTTCTCACTCCCACATTTTTAGAGAAAATTTCTCAAAGAGATCACCTATCTCAGAATTGCTCCAAACATTACAAGAAATTCAGTATTTACAGGCAATTGGATAAAGTCGGTTGTTGATAAACGCCGTTGATAAAAGAATGATAAGATGGGTTTTATAAGAGGTATATTATGACTTTTTGACCCTTATAACCTTTTATTAAAAATTAATTACCAAATTGACCTTCATTATAAACTATTTCAAAAATTTAATTCCCTCAAAAAATATAACACCAATCTGCTCCTATTTGACCGTTGACCAACAGAGTACACCCCTCCCTATCCGGGTATTTTTTGAAATTTTGTGCCTACCCGAGCAGGAAGGGGTGTACCCGGGTATAGTTCTTGGGATCTTGAAAATTGTTTGAATTATTTACCCGGGTACGGAGGAGTGTACTCGGGTAGTTCTCAATAAGAGTACATTTGACACTGCTGAGGATGCAGCTCGTGCACATGACACTGCTGCTCGAGCTTTGCGTGGTGCTAATGCTAGGACCAACTTTGAATTGCCAGACTCTGCAACCTCTGGTGCTACAACTAAGCGTGGTGGTGGAGAAACTGAAGGCTTTTGGACATTGGAACAACAACAATTTGTGCAATGTGAGAACAACCGTTGGTTTAGTTCGAGTGTTTCTTGGAATCCTGTTGTATTATTGAGACCTACGCGGGTACATCCCTTCCTACCCGGATAGACACAAAATTTTAAAAAATACCGGGTAGGGAGGGGTGTACCCGGGTAGGCCTGTTGGTCAACGGTCAAACATGGGCAGATTAGTGTTATATTTTTTGAGGAGGTTAAATTTTTGAAATAATTTAAAATGAAGGTCAATTTGGTAATTAATTATTAAATAAGAGTTATAGTGGTCAAAAAGCCGGTATATTGTAGGAAAAATAATTGTGTAATATTATAGAGATTCATTTTGCGTATCTTAATCTTTTATTTTTTTTGCTCTAGAAAATATGGGTCCACAAAATATTGTGCGTAAAAAAGTTATGAGTGTCACGTGACATGACATGACATGTAAATCCCTGATTTCTTAGGAATAATTCTACGCACTTTGTCACCTTGCCTTTCTCTTCATCTTCTTCCCAACCTCCTTGTATAGAACTTTCTTGTTTTCCCTCTCTCTCTTTGAATAACTATCTACTACACCGTAGCGGATCCCTGTGACTCGGTGGCTGTCTCGCTTTTCTCAAATAATTTTTTCTCTTCTTTTCTTTGTATTTCTCTGCAACCAAACACTCGAATACAGTTCCTCTTTCTTACATTTTCCTCACTGATTCCCTGACTATCCTGTTTAGATCTCTCTCTCTCTTTCGTTTGTGAAAAGCTTCTATATCCATCTCTTTTTGCAGCTCATGGAATCAATTTGTAAACCCTAATCCCAATTATCCGAGTTCGTCATTGTTCCCTAACATTAACCGTACACCATCACACTTTCAAGCATAACGCGAAGCAATCAAGTCACCAAATCACAGGACCTACTGTCATCATCCACCACCGGATCACCATTGAATGTGAGAAAAAAAATTTAATGTTCAATTCTTAAGGGTTAAGGTGTGAGAAAATTTTCTAGTTGTCATTTAGTCACCAAATAAAATTTTATAAATAGTTAGCTAGTTATATTAGCAAGATTTAATTATTTTGATGTTTGGATTTCTCCTTGATAGTGCTGAATCGTTTTAATGGAAGAGTTGGGTCCACTGAATATCAAAGAACTTGAGCAGCTTGAACGATTCATCTCTGAAGCAAGCGAGGTCCGCAAAGGTAACAGAGTATCTGCGTTTAAGAAATATGTTAGTTTTTCAGCAAATTAAATAGATAAAGATTACTGATGTGGTTCTTAATTAGCTGCTGTAGCAACTTAATGTGATTTCTTTGATTTCACTTACTTTCATAAGTATTTTTCTATAACATATGCTTTGTGCAAACAGCCTTTTTGCAAGAAATTCTGATCTATTGAAAAGGTTTTTCTGCATTAGGAGTTCGAACATTCATATAACAGAAACCAATGGGATAGTTTTACTCTTCATCAAAGGTTTGACATTTTTATATGTGAAGAAAATGTACTATCAAGGAATTACATGCCTTTTTTGTGTAATCCGAAAATTATTCATGTGGAAAATAAAAAAAGTAAGTGCCTTCTGAAAACAGAAACATTCCTAAACAAAGGAGCATAGAGATGAGGATCTTCACGAACTGAAGAGGCATGATCAATCTCTTTCTTTGCATACATAAGGGCCTCATTAGGTGGAAAAAACCGCATGTGTATCTGAGATATATATATCCAGCAATTTATTGGTCACAAATCTCCTCATCATATTTAAAAAAGAAAGAAAGAAGTAAGTTCAAAATCTCATCAACTTCTACCTGCTTGCGAGAAGGAACATGGCCATGAGGGGATGAAGATAATGTAGCAATTTTTGTTGTATCAGCAAGCTTTTTCTCCTCTTTACCCAATTCTTCTAAACTCTCTTACTTAACTGAGACTGATTGTACTAACGTGTTAGACGAATTAGGCAAAATAAGGGAGTTAGGAAGACTGAGTTGAACCTGTTGAAGGCTTGCCCCTTTGAGAAGTTCACTTGGCTGCACAGTACTATTGGAGGATCGATACAATGAATCAGTTTCATGAAGAGAAAGGAACAGACTTGTCACATATGAAGAGAAATGAACAATTTGTTTGGTAGAATTAGTCCTAATGCATGGAGACCACTTTAAGGAGAGCTTATGCTTGTCAGCCACATGTGCCAACTCACCTAATGCATGTTGTCCACATGTCAATTAGACTTCTTCTAACATTCCTTGCATGGTTGCCATGTGCCCACCAAGTTTGTCTCTCTTTTGTGCATGGTCGCCACCTACTCATCACAAAGGACACCTTGCCCTCCCTCATCCATTCACGGCTAGGACTCTTTCACTATACCCTATGCATTGCAAACAAAAATTGTACTCTCTTTCTTACTCTCTAAGCCGAAGACCCACTTCTTCACTTGGTGTTTCCTTTGGACCGTGGAGATTCATCAAGTCTCATCACCATCATCGCCCCCTTTTCTTCCTCAAAACCGAAGGCCTCTAGCTGGAAGCGAACCCGAGAATATGATAATGATACATATGCCACTAGCTTTCTTCCATGTGTCATTCCCGAGTGTAAAATTTCATTCTCTCTTCTCCAATTCTTATTTACTTGAGTTTAAAGTTTCAACGCTACTTTCATATAAATGCATTTTATAGTTAAAGAACTTAGATACTAACTAGTCAAATTTTCTTGAGAGAGTTATGAAGGTAATTAAAGCCTTAAACTTTAATCAAAATCGATTTATATTATCTGCAGGTAGCTTGAACTATGGTTGCCAGCCAGCACCACCTCCTATAAGTTACTTAATTCCTTTTTACCAAAGTAGATTCCTTTTACTAATTTCATTCTTGTAAAGTACTTAAAAATAAATATTATGATCATGATAATTTTTGACTGCTAAAAAATTCGGGTATGATTTGAAAAGGTAAATCACCCATCAAATTATGAAAGCATACAGTTAGAGTGAATTAGGATTTTTTATTTATTAAAAAATTCAATTATTTTACTTTCTTGTCAATTTTTACATGCCATGACCCATTACACTCGATAAATTTTGGGTCTTTCATATACTATAATTCTTTGTAAAGAAGTACTTGCAGTTGCTCGCACTGCTAGTTATAAGGGATGCCTATCATTATGCGCCACCCAGGGAGGATAAATTTTCTCACACTTTGTACTGTGTAAGTGTAGATTATCAACATTTCCATCCTCTCACTTATACATTGTACATTTTAACTGTGACTGACATTGCGTCCAAAATTTGAATCATGTGCAGATTGCTGCTTTGCTTTGTGGTGGTAAGTCTACCCCACCTTTCTGCTGCGATTTTTTGAGCTTGGATATTTTAAGGTAACGAATTGGGGAATCTGACCCAAAAAATGAATAATTGTGCTTTCATGTCACTGTAAGCGACCATTTTGGGCAGTTTTAATATTGGAATTCTATCTATCTCATATGGAAACTGTATTGTTATGTTCTTTTGGGGTGCTGTGTGTCTATCTCTGCTACTAGGCAGTTGATAAGGACCACCCCTCCTCCCAAAAAAAAAAATTCCTTAAGGATGTCTTACTCTTTATAAATTATAAGGGAGGGAACACTACAAGAAAAGCGGGATATAGAGGCAATCTGACTTAATCATTTGGTCCTTCAATGTAATAAATGTAGATAATAAGTTTTTGAAATAGTAGGGGATAAAGCGGAAAGAAGAAAGTGCTTGGAGTGAATTCCTTGATTTGAATATGTTGGGCATTGTTCTTGTTCCTACTTGTTGCAATTGTTAGAATGGTACCTTCCTGGAGATAAATAGTTACGTTATATGTCTAACTTTCAGGTATCCCCTTGGGATTCCTCCTAATGGCCATGTTTTGGGGTTTGCTTTTGTCAACGTGAATAAGCAAATGTATGTTTACAACCTTATGTATTCAAATTTTAATCATCTTGGTTATTGGGAAGTTATGAGTAAGTAAAATACTTTTGGTGCCATGGGGACTGTAAGGTTTACTGTCATGTGGGGCTTAATTTTCCTTGTTGGTGTTGCTGCAGAAATCCTATGAAACCAAACAATACACAAAGGGCCTCAAAGCAGCTGATGCTATTTTGAAAAAATTCCCAGATCGTGGAGTTATACTTTTTTGGTGCTTGTTTTTCCATGCTTTTTATTCCTTGTCCGGGAATATTTTATTTCCTTCTTATTTGTCTAAGTTAGTAGCATTAAAAATGATTTGTTAATTTTTTTTAACACAGAAGTTCTTCTCTCTCCATCTCTTAATTATTTTGTTAATTTTTTTTAACACAGTGGGTTTGACATTAAATTGCATGGATCGTAAGGATGAATTGGTTTGCCGAGTACTTAAGGTGCGTTGATTTCACACCATTCATCAATCTTCAAATCAATGGTTATTAGCTGAATCAAACTTAATTTTTGTTTTGGTGCAGAATGACCTTAAAAGTCATGTTTGCTGGCATGTTTATGGTCTCCTTTATGACACTAGGGGAAGTTCATAGGTACTTGAGTCAGAAATCAGAATGCTACTGCCCTTCTGTCGCCTTTCCAAATTCAAGATAAAGCTCTTATGCAGTATTTCTAGAATTATTTGTGTCTTAAACTTTTGCTGGATTAACAATAAAGGTGAAAGAAAGATCTCTCTCCAGTCTCTTCCCATTTGGAATCTTCCAATGCATAACCAAATGCCCTTACAGGTAAGAAGACACAGAACTTCAGTTTGACTTATTTAGCTGGAAGAAGGGCTGCTAGTTATATTGAAGACAAATATGATGCCGATAATGTATGCCTTTATTGTAAGATGTATAATTTTGGAAGTTTATGAGCACACACACATGTCCTTGTATATAAGGATTTTGATTAGCCATGACGGATTACAGGTGTATTTGAAATAAAATGTCTTACATAAGAAATGAAACTAAAGAATACAAGAAAATTCACATGCTGTATTATTAGTAGGTCTTTTGGGACAAATTTCATTCTCTCTGGATTTTATGCATCAACTTATTTCAACTTATCTTTGTTATATTAACTTAAAAAAGATGTTTTAGAAGAAACTACGGGATATAAAGAACAAAATTTAACTGTTTCCTAAAGATATATATGTGGCAATGTTATGCTAAGTGATTTCATTTAACTGCAAGTTTACATTGGCTGAGTAATTTATGTGCAGAGACAAAAACCAGCTGAGATGTTGAACTTCAATGCTAGTGAACCTGTTGTTATCCTTGGATTTGGACAGATGGGCCAGGTAGATCAATCAATGCATTGTAAAACCTGAGATTTTATCTTGCCCATTTCTAAAATTATATCCTTTGGCTCCTTTTCTAAAGGTCCTTGCCAATTTCCTATCAAATCCATTGGCTTCAGGAGGAGATAGTGATGCAGTAGGATGGCCTTATGTGGCATTTGATCTTGACCGCACAGTAGTAAAGGTCAGTGTTTCTGAACACTGGATGGCTATTGTCTACTATTACGTGCTTAGGACTTTTTCTTTTCCTTTTGTGAGTTGTTTGAAATTCTTGAGTAGAAATCTGCTGTTTAGAATGTCTCCAATTTGCTATTGAGGAATCTCTTTTATCCAACATTAGTGGGAAGAAGAAGATTATGGAAGCTGTTCAAAGGCTGCGATTGACTTTTCCTGCAGTAATAATCTCCTTTCAAAGCCTGAGAATTCCTGGTGCATTTTATATAAAGAACTATTTAAAGAAAATAATAGAAGGATTCATAATACAATTTTCTATGACATTCATCTTATATTATTTGACTATAAGTTTGTAAGTTTCTGATCTAATAAGTTTCTACTCTTACTGTGGTAATTTGAGTTATCGTTTACCCAGCTTCTGTTGAAATGCTTGTTGAGACTTTGCCATATTTCTATCTCATTTGTATTGCAGAAGCTATTCGAGGTTTGAAAATAATCAATGACAATCGAAATGAGTTGCTGCAGCTCAAGAGCATTTGATTAATTTTCAATTTAATTTTTTTTCCCAAAAAAATAGATAGTTGCCAGTGACGTATCAAAAGTATTCTACAGCTATTTTTTTAAAACAATTACTTTAGCCACGGTTAAAACGTGTCTAATTATCACTACAAACAAACGTGGCTAAACACCATTTTCTATATTTAACGTACGTCGATTTGATTTTAAGGGCGATTATTTCGTGGGTTTTCTAAAACCAACGCAGAATTATTCAGTGGAACGATGGTTTAAAAAATGCCAAAGATTTTTTTTGCGGCGGTTAAAACCGCCGCTAAGCACAAAAATAACCGTCGCAAAATCCTGTTTTTGCTGTAGTGAAGTCAAGTACTTAACTGTGGAGTTCTTTCGTTTCGGGCTATCGAAAAACAGATGTATCTTGTTAGTATAAGTAGTACCACTTAATTCTTATAAGTTATCCCAAACTATGCAGTCTTATACTTGCACAGTCTTTAGAATCCCTTTTTTCGGGTGTCGATTCGATTCATCCATGCATGTAACCCCACGTTGGAAGCCTGTCAGGAGTCGTTCCTTGTCCATGCCATTTCGCACCGGCGGTCAATCCCTGCCCTCGTCAGCGCTCGAGATGTGTTACGGACCTTGAGGTCACCACCCCAAAAGCTAGCTCAAAAGGTGGAAGTGCCCAAGGCCTTATAAACTCCACATTAGTTGTATAGGCAACCAATATGAGACTCGTAACATTGCCACCCTTTTAAGGGCCGACTATAATGACCCTTACATTTAATTATGGATTTAATATGGAAGGATAATTATAAAGAAAAAGAAATAAAGTCACTTTTGGTGAAAAATGAGTTAAAATGATAATTAAGGGGTAAAAATGACCATGTTATGCAATCGCACCCAACAGAAAAATGTATTATGATGTAAAATGCATGCATATATCATATCATCCTTTCATATACTTACCATTGGCTCATCATCATCATAACATACATAGAACAAATGTGAGCAACACATCACAATTCCATACACTAGCCAATAGTCACATTAGGTAATACCGCCTACACATACCTCGAGTCTTTAAATTTCCAAATATCATCAAACAGTAGTAACTCAGCCCACATTCAAGGTCATGTGCACCTAATTAAGCAAGAAAAGCCAAACAGAATTTTAACGTTGGTTCTCATAATTCACAATTAATTTCTATGCTTCCAACTCCCATGATTTCAATCGACTTATCATTCTTCGAGTTTTAATTAATTCCTGCCTTAGATTCAGCTTTCCTAATTATTATCAAGTGACACAATTTCCTCATCCACATGTCATCCTCTACCAAGACTAAGTTACGCTTAAGAGACATAAAGCATGTTGTTTATATAGATTCTTCTAATACATACAGTGTTTGACAACACAAGTTCAATTGCTAGTAGGCACCATGTTCCTAGGTGGCCTACACACTAATTCGGTTTTGACCATGAATCATATACATAAATTAATTTATTTTCATAGCGTTTCCTATAAAGCTTACGGTGAAAGAAACAAGGTTATAAATAAGCTATACATGCCGTTTCAACACAAAAAGATCAACCAAGTCCTATGCAAAAAAATCCGGTTTATCAACATCAAGAGGGCTATATTTTTAAACCTCAACAATACAGTCTTTAAGTTAGCATACTTCAAAAATCAAGGGTCGGTTTTATTAAGGTCATCAACTAGATGCTTATAAATTTTATTTACAAATTACTGCCAATACCACGTATTCTTGATTCATATACTTTTCAGCATGCTGTCAACAAAACTATACACATATGCAAGTCTTGATTCAAAATGGTTTCGTGATTTTTTTATCCTAATTTAGTTTTTCTAACATGGAGTTATTTCACAAAAAGGCAGCAAGTGAAGTAATCAGAATATTCCCTACACATGGTTCGGTTCTCAACCCTTAGCAAGTGCTCCCCATTCCGTTTATACCAAAATAAAATCCACATGTAAGGAATAACTAGGTAGTGGATGAAATTATAATTTGCAATATGTAAACTTTAAAGATAAAATAAGTGTAATTGAAGGTCCCAGTAATTAGTCTTTTGTCTGCACAAGTAATAGGCGGGTACATTTAGTTGTTTTGAATTTGCCTAATTCAGGATTGTGAAATTATGTTGGTATTATCAATTATGAAGTAACCCAGTGAACTACATTGTTGACCCTCAACTTAGCCTGCATACAATTTAAGGGCACTTGATTAGTAATTACATGCGTCTCACTAGAATAAGTACAGCGGAGGTATTAGTGAGACTATGGCAAGTTATTAATATTAACACACATAAAGAAATGAAGAACCTGAGTAATAGGGTAATGGATAGCTAGAAATTCTTATTTAGCAAGATGATATCTGGTGTGACTTAGTCTTTGTTACAGTGTGGTCTTAGAAGTTAAATAAGCTAGAATCAGAAAATTGTTTGTTATGAATAAGCCTAGGAAACATGTGTTCCTTTGTTTGAGTGATTTGTTAAGTGCAAGTTAGATGTAACACTTTGAATTAATTAATGATTATTATAGATGCCCAGTTGATTGTGATAGAATGTCCTGTTTGAATGCATGAGGGTGGAGCATTCGCTTGGAGTGGTTAGCGTAATGGGTAGGACGAAGTTTGGGGACAAACTTCAAATTTGGTGGGGAGAGTGTAACATCCTGCATAATTAGGAATTTACATAAATTATAAATATGAATGTGAAGCATGCTTAGAATTTGAGTTAAACTTATGTTTAGAACAGAATTTATTTAAGCTAGGAAAATGATTTGTTTAGTATTGATACGTAAGTATATATATATATATATATATATATATATATATATATATATATATATATATACTATCTTAAGAATTTCAAAGCTTTAATTAAAAGAATAGGATTAATTTACTATAATCTGCCAAATATTTTAGATAATGCTTAGAGAGCATATGAAATGATCATTAATAAAATTACAGTAGGTGTAATATTCCAACTTAAATTATATATATAGATACATAGGAGAAACTATGAGGAATATGGATGCACGTGCGAAATTCCCGTTTTTATGATGTACATGTGTGGTTTCGTATTACATAACTATTTATCTTTAAGAGAAATTAAATTAGTTTAGGGAATTGGTAGAATTACAATATTGATAAGTACTTTAATTTAGGCACTTGAAACTTTAATTATAAGGTGTAGGAATGTACTAATGGTAATATAATAAAGTAAATAAAACATTATGTTACTTAAGCCTTATGTGAATCGAAAAAATTTCTTGGGTTAGTATCTAAGTTAGTGCCATTTAGGGCTGTACATGTTGGCCCCTAAAATTCTAAAGTGGCCGAATTTAAAGGGCCTTAGGAGTGTCCTTGGGTTCAGCCCAAACTTCCTACACTTTGCTGAAAATTTGATCTCACACTAGTAATCCTACAAGGTCATTTTCTATTGGTTAAAAATCAACACATGGCAAAAAGGGTAAGCCATTTCATTTCCTTGTTTCATGCGCTGAGTTAGTCCCAAAGAAAAGAAGGCTGAAGTTGTTTGTTTTCTTCCCAAAAGTAGTCAGCAACACTCCTCACTTTTCCCTCTTCTTGCGCTGTAATGCTGTCAAAAAGGACTGGTAACTTGTGTGATTAAACTATCTTAAATCAGCCACATTTCCTCTCTCCTTCACATGCGCCTAGGGTCTTGATAAAATTCTGAAGTTGCTTGCATCAAATGACAACTTAAGTCAACCTTGTCATAGCTTTTCTTGTCACATGCGCTTGGCGGGGGGGAGGGGAAAAGAAATTCTGGTTGCTTGTAGACTTAGCTTTATGTCCAGTTTTAACTTGTAATCAATAAAGGAAAGTGTGGTCAGATTGAATGAAAAATAATAGGGCACAAGCCTCATCCATCTTGCCACCCTATGCGCTCCAAAGGAGGGAAACTTCAGCTACTTTTCTGATGGGGTACACAAGCTTAAATCAGTCTTCCCAACACTCTTATTTCACTTTCCAAGCGCTGAAGTAGTAAGGGAAGACCTCACTTTTCTACATTCATTTCCTCTTTGATACAAGCCTCTTCCTTCCTTTACACCGCGGCATCATGAAGAGAAAAGAACAAAAGTTTCAAATCACTTCACCTATTTCTCTCATCAAACCGTGACCTTGGTGAGGCTATGAAACAAAAAAACAAAACAACATCTAAACCTCCTTTATTCCTCATCCAGGCGCTGTAGACTGCTGTAGACGAAATAGAAGAGATTGGAGAGTTACTTTGCTAAAACACTCCTCCTAGCCGTGGACCTTTTAGGAAGAAGAACCATAACACAAGTTCCTTCCATCTTTTGTTTCCTCTAAACCGTGACCACCATCAGGGAATCACACATCTTATAGCAAAATTCTATCCTACTATTTTCCTTAAATTCGAAGAAGCTCTTGGAGGGAGGAACAAAGTTAGACAACATTTTCCTCTTTGTCCATTGTTGACCGAAGGTTATTCTCAAGGAGGTGAGTTGTTGCTCTTCCTCTTATTCTTTCATACTCTCACTCAAAGTTCTCATGAGAGTATTCTTTGTTGCTTGCATGGACTTCTCTTTGTTAAAGTCTCTACTCTCCTACACGTGCAGGGCTTTAAACATTGGGACCTTAGTGGTTGGAAGCTCTCTGTTTACCAAGGTGGAATATTAAGGAGACCAAGGAAACATAGGTAATTTCTTTTCCCTTGGGATGATGCTGTCCGATTTTAGGTCTTGTAGGGGCTTTGTTTTAATTAATCTTCTCTGTTTTAAACTTAAACGTTCAATGCATGCAGCCTTAGAAAGGAATACATTAGAATAAGTTATTAAAAGTCTATAAGTAATGAGAATACTTA